TATATACACACACACACACACACACACACACACACACACACACACACACACCAAATTTCACATAGACCCCCATCTATCAAGGCCATGGATGAGGTCCTTCAATATTAAGTACTTAGTTTAATTTTATAATTTCTCTTAGTCTTGTTATATGAAAGATCAGTTTAAAAAGAAAGAAAAGCAGCTTCCAAAGCCACCTATCTTCCTGACATGCTTAAAATAAAATAAAAATAAAAATAAAATAATAATAATAATAATCTGTTCTATATAAAAGTTATCTAGGTTCAAACAAATGTAGCAGTATAAAGAGAGATTACTTCTTCATAGTTCATCTTTCCTAGGGCTTCCCCCACCCTTTTGATTTTACTTTAAGGCATGTTCAAGCAGATCTCAGCAAGACTACCTACAGATAAATTCCCACGCCATGACTTTAAAAACCACTGTGCTTAAAAGTTAGGTGCTTAACTTAGTTAGGTACATATCAGACACCCAAATAAATGTCCTCTTTAGAATGGCTGCTGCTGGGTGTTCAGGACTTTTGACAGGACAGGTGACAGATACAGATTTTGGATCCTAACATAGTGCATTTCAGCAAAGTGGGGGTTGGCAGAGTACTGGATGTTTTCTGTTTCAGTCACTTGGATAGTCAAATAATGCATACATCCATAGAGTCTCAGCCCTACGTACACAGTGCCTCAGATTTGCCCAGCACTTTGCAGAGAAAATAAAGCTGCAAGGAATTTACAAGCTTGGTAATCTAGGAATAAAGAGTTTCCTCAGGACTTACCCTGCAGCAATGTTCTCTAGTTTCGACATCTTCAGGTTCTTAGGCAGCCAATTTGTGCTACAGTTGACAAACATGAGACTAAAATTTATTAAAAAGACTCCTAATTCCTGCCCACAAACCAAAGAAAATGGGATGCATAGAGATGGTCTGTGAAGGGATGTAGAAGATGACTAGAGAAGCTGCTACTACACTGCTCTAATCCCCAATGAACACAGCAAACTGTCTTGCTTCATACCAAGCCAATCATGCATAAAGAGATTGAATGTGGCTATTGGCAAATGTTCATAACTTGGTTTGAATAACCACTGTTGATGGAGCCAAGGCATATTAGGACTAAGGTAAAAGACTGTGCTTGTTGTTTGCTCTGTGTAGATGGGGTCTTAAAGTCTATGTCTACACTGCAGTTGAGAGAGAGACTCCCAGCCGGGGTAGACTTGCTAGCATGCAAAAAAGGGTTGACACTATGGCTTGGGCAATAACTCAGACTTTCAAGCCTACCTGACCCGGTAGGTTTGAGCTCAGTTGGCTAACCAGAGCTGCAACATCCAAACTGCTATATTTCACAAACTAGCTTAAACCGAGCTAGTGAAAGTTTGTCTGCCCAGGCTGAGAGGCTCCCTTCCAACAGCAGTGCAGACATACCCAGAGTGCCCTTTGCTAAACTTTCAGCTTTTTTCTGAAATTACTGCTAAAACGGTTTAGATTCTTGGCTCACAGGAAATGAGCATTATGATGTGAATGTTGTACAGAAGGCTAAAGCAAAGCAACAATTGACAAAAGCAAAGCAAGTCCACACTGATTTTTTAGTACATTTTTAATAAACTTGTTAAAGCTACAGATCATATTTTGTTGATTAATGTTTAATGGCAGTGTTCTCCAATGGACTGGGGACAGGCCTAGAAGCCAGCCACTGACCCTTTGTACGGCCTCGCGCTTTTACCCTCTCTATCAGTTTCTCCAGCTGCATAATAAGGATACAAATAAATTCTTGCCTCATTTGCCAGTCACAAAGGGAGTGCCACCAAATGGAGGAGAACCAATTAAATGGGAGACAAGCACTCCTCCCCATCCCAGAGAAAAAGCATAGAAGCATGTCAGCAGTAGCCAGCAAAGAAAAAGGCAAGTCATGGTAGCACAATGTAAACAAATGGCACATTTTTAGAATGGGTCTTGTTTGTGGATTGCGAGTATAGCATTCTCCTCTACTGTCAGTCTTCCATCGCAGATACACTGTGAACATGGCATCACAATGCACTACCACTGAGAAGGCAGACTATGCATTTCTTGCCCTTTTTCAGTCTAATTCAATGCCCACTGAAATCAGTCCATGGAAATCATTGTACCAGACCCTTTACCAGAATTACTATATTGCCACCCTATAAAATACATACATGCATTGTCAGTTCATTGTTATTTTATTTGGGTTACTGTAGTACCTAGAGGCCCCAAATGAGATCAGGGTCCCATTGGCACTGTACAAAAACACAGTAAGAAATAGTTGCTCCCCCAAAGAGCTTACCATCTAAAAAATTCATTGATGTAAATTCCATTCACACACTTAAACTGACCAATTAGAAATCACATGGTATTTATTCCAACTAGAAGAATTTTTTTTTAAGGATATCCCAGGTTTGTTTCAAAGTGTTGCCATCTGATTTTTTAGCCAACAGTCCAAGAAAGCAAAACATTTAAGTGAATTAACAATGAGAGTTATTACTCCAACAGCATGAATTTGCTGTTATAGAAGCTCTGGTGTGAGAGAGTGGTTATGTTTAAGACATAAATTAAGACAGTGAATTTTTTAAAAAAAATTAATTATATGAATTTACACAGAAATCCCTGAAGATAAAGAGGACTTCATTAATTTCACCCCAGAAGACTTGGAATCTACACATATAAAGAAAGAGACAATTGACATAGGTAAGTTAAGAGTTTTCCATAATTATCTTGGAAGTGTATCCCATTTTAGTGGAGAAATATACTGTTCTATGAAGTGAAGTTAACATTCTTAAAAAGGGTTCAGTAGCGCAAATACAGTTCTTGTTTTATCTCACCATTTAGTTGTACATACACAAGATTCCTCTAAACATGCAAATTTACAAATCAAGAATTAAAAAAAGAACACACTTACTCTTTGTATTTGATGTGCACACAAATACCATCTTATTTTATCCAAACACTAGAAAGTATTGGCCAAACACCTAAAATAGTTGCCTCTCAACAAAAGTTGCCATTTTAAGTCTATTCAGGCTTTTCAAACCATTTTATGCTAGCGCAGTTCTTATAAGAGATGTATGTATGGATCACTATCCAATAATTGCAATAGAGATGTTATGAATTATTTTAATAAGAAATTGAGATTCATTTATATATTAGTGATTTGAATTCATGTCAAGCATTTGAGAAAAAATGGGCTAATTAAAAACAGATTTGCAAACAGTTTGTCATGGAAGTAGACTAGAAATACTGATATTTCAGAATCAATGAGCATAGAAGTCATTAAGGACAAAACCAAGTCACATTTGGGATAAAAGGGTACAAATCTGGAATCTACAGGTCTCCCACACTGCATCAAAATGCACTAAGATACCACAGATTTACACCACAATGTTTAAAGGTCTAGAAAACATGACCTAGAAGGAAAGATTAAACAAACCCAATTGTTTCAGTCTGGAGAAGAGAAGACTGAGGGGGGAAACCTGATAGTCTTCAAGTACATAAAAGGTTGTTATAAAGAGGAAGATAATAAATTGTTCTCCTTAACCACTGAGGACAGGACAAGAAGTAATGGGTTTAAATTGCAGCAAGGGAGATTTAGGTAAGACACTAGGAAAAACTTAGTGATTGTAAGTATAGTTAAACACTAGAACAATTTACCTAGAGTTTGTCGAATCCCAGTTATTGGAGAGTTTTAAGAAAAGATTACACAAACACCGGTCAGGGATAGTTTATATAATATTTAGTCCTGCCTCGGTGCAGGGGACTGGACTAGATGACCTAGCAAGATCCCTTCCAGTCCTACATTTCTAGGATTTCTACGACAACCAGAACTACATCAAAGCAATTTTATAAAGATGACATTGTATGGGAGAGACAAAACTATATTGAGACCAGAGCAAAACATCCATCTAGGTTCAGAGACACAACCAGGTCACATGAATGCAGCAGGAACTTTTCATGTAGAATGATACTAGGAATAATATGTCATGTGAATACTTTCATTTGCGTACTATGCAAATCAATTGGTTTTCTGTTCCTGTCATGCAATATCCATTCCAGAATATGAATCACTTAAAGACAGCAGTGCACAAATAGGTTAAAAACACAACATGGTTAAGAGGAATGAGCCTGGAACTAGGAATTAGGAGTTCCTGCATTCTTATCTCATCTCTATCACTGACTCACTGGGTTGCCTTGGACAGGTCACTTAAGAGCATAAGAATCACTATACGAATCAGCCCTGTGGTCCTCTGGTTCAGTATCATATCTTCAACAGTAGCTAGTACTATGTTTCAGAGGAAAGTGCAAAGATTCCCATAAAGGACAATTATGGAATAATTTGCTAAATTTTTGTAATGAGACAATTAATGGTTTGTTTATGGCATGAAATATAATTTCTGAATCTCAGTTTGCCTTTCTATAAAATTTACACTTAGGTATATTATGACGATATAAATATTTGTAAAATCCTTTCAAAATATAATGAAGGTAAAAAGAGCTGCATAACCGCTAAGTACTACTCTAGTAACTCCTCACTTAACATTGTAGTTATGTTCCTGAAAAATGCAACTTTATGCAAAACGATGTTATGGGGAAATTAATTCTTAAGCGCACCCAATGTAAATATGGGGGTTAGGTTCCTGGGATTTTTTTTTTTGCCAGACAAATTATATACATATACAGTACAAGTTTTAAACAATTTAATATTGTACACAGCAATGAATGATTGTGAAGCTTGGTTGAGGTGGTGGAGTAAGAGGGTGGAATATTTCCCAGTGAATGCCTTGCTCCTAAATGATGAACTAGCACTCGGCTGAGCCCTCAAGGGTTAATACACGGTTGTTAATGTAGCCTCACACTCTACAAGGCAGCATGGACTGAAGCAGGAGGGAGGAAACACAATAGATGCTGGGCAGTAGCTGCAAACACTTCCCTGAAAAAGCTGAACATGATGAGGAGCCCACGCTATCCAGCTGAAGCGCACCACACTCTCCTCCTGATAGCACATGCATGGCTGCACAGGTGCTGACTTTCCAAAGGCTCGGGGGTACTTGCATGAGAGAGACAGACAGACAGACACATGCATTGCCCCTTTAAGTACGCTGACCCCACTTCAAGTATGGTGCCCTTTTAATGGAATCAGCCAGTTCAGACAGGAAGCAACAGCTTCCAGCAAGCTCCCTCCTTGCTGTCTCTGAGCCTTGTCCCCCTCCTCCGCTTTGTGGTGAGGGGGTACGAAGCAGGAAGGGGGGGCAGGAGCAGGGGGACATCCTGATATAAGCACGCCTCTCCCACCATCCCCCAGCAAGCAGGAAGCTCCTGGGGAGCAACTCCAAGGCAGAGGGCAGGGCAGGAGCAGCAGGGCAGTGGGAGGAGGGCAGCTGCCGAGCCACATACCTTACAGGGAATTTAGGGGAACTGCTGCCCCCCCTCCATTTCTAATCTCCGCAAGGAGGGGTGGCTCTTCCAGAGAATCCTGCAAGCAGTGGACAAAGTAGGCGGCTGCCAAACAACATTATAAGGGAGCATTGTGCAACTTTAAACAAGCTTGTTCCCTAATAAATCAGCAACATATCATCCCGGTTAATGTTGTTAATTGAGGAGTTACTGTACATGTAAATTAGTTATCTCACTTATCCTGACTGCATCCAATAAAGTCATGCTTATTTACTAGTGATCTTATGTTTACAACAGTACACACAGTTCTGTCCGTCATTAAAAACCCAAGTGGCCTAAGACATCCAAGTATCCAGAAACAAGGAAAGAGGAGAAAACTTAACCTTCCTCCAGACCCTGAAACCTCAGAAAGGGTGAAATCCTAGCCCTATTGAAGTCAGTGACAAAAATCCCATTGGGCAGTAAAATTGAAGAAATCATGAAGAAGTCAAAGTGTTTACATAAAAACCTGACAGAGAAAAAAAAGTCTTGTGTCATGAGACTTGGGTTCGGATGAACACTGATGTTTTCAAGAATTCTGAAAAGATTCCTAACCAAGCTTAAAACCTTTAACTTTTTATTACTATTTAATAGATATTTGTGTACTATACAGAATGCAATTCTGTATTAATGGAACTGTACAGATAAGGTATCAATAAAGCCCTACATTAGAGTCTTTCCCTTCAACTGAAGCAGGGTGAACATGGCTCCCTCCAAAGAGGCAAAAAAATCATTCCATCTGTCAATGGAACTCTTATTTTCCTCTAGTGAAAGCACCATTGGGATTCAGCACATACGAAAAACCAAATGGCAATCCCTACTTGATAACCACTACATCAGCCCACTACATTAAAGAAGCCCTTTAAAAGAGTTTAAACCATCTAAATTAAAGTCACATCTCTCAGTTAATTTTTAAAGACATAATCCTAATATTTTTCAACTGTCCATTGAACCTTCCAATAAATATAGGGTAGAAAGGATCTACACTTGCAGTGTGAAAAAACAAGAACAATGAAAACAAAACAAAAGCACACACTCCTTTGAAGAGAAGAAAAAACAAACAAGAAAAAAACATCAGGATTGTGTCCTAACACCACTTAAGTATTTTAAATGAATTAAAATGGACACAAAGAGTATTGGGGGGGGGGGGGACTGAATACTCCCCATACGTCTTTCCTTGAAGTAGGATAATATGGCTAGCTGTCTATCAAAAGCTTTGTCTTCATAGCAAAAAAGCTGTTGTGGAGACAAGACAGAGGTAGTTTGTACCTCAACTAGCTACATCAAGATAAATCCTAGGTGATTTGGGGGGAGGGGGGGGGAAGAGAAGAGAAGGACTGATAGACAGCCATGCCATCCTCCTTCAAGGACAGCTGAATAATATTAGGATTATGACTTTAACTCAAGATAGCTAGAAATTAACAGAGTTATCTTTATGTAAAAACAAAACAATAAACCACCACCACCACCGTTTTTTGGCAGTGAAGATACCACCTAAGGCAGTGGCTCTCAACCTTTCCAGACTATTGTACCCCTTTCAAGAGTCTGATTTGTCTCATGTACCCACCAGTTTCACCTCACTTAAAAACGTACAAAAACAGACATAAAAGTACAAAAAAAGTGACACAGCACATGATTATATGGTAAAAAGGAAACAGTAAGCAATTTTTCAGTAGTTATAAAATAAATCAATTGGAATATAAATATTGTACTTACATTTGAGTGTATAGTCTAAAGAGCAGTATAAACAAATCCATATCTATGAAATTTTAGTTTGTACTGACTTCACTAGTGCTTTTTAATGTAGCCTGTGGTAAAACTAGGCAAATATCTAGATGAGTTGATGCACCCCCTGGAAGACCTCTGAGCCTAAGGTACTTATCTGGGCCCCATTACTGAGATATTAGAGTGCCTCATAATGGTTAACATATTTATCCTTCCCAATACCCTTCTGAGAAGTACAATTATTCCTATTTTATAGATAAGGTACTGAGGCACAGAGAGACTAAGTGACTTGCCCAAGGGCACACAGGAAGTGTGTGGTGGGGGCGAGAAACAGGGGGATCTGGGCTTCCCATTACCAGGCTAGTGCCCTAACCACTGGACCATTTCTAGCTAATAATTAGAACTGTGCAGGTTAAAATGTAAAGGTCACGATCATGGGGGGATGGCTGCTTCATCAAATCTGTGGCTCTGCCACTTCTGTCCATTTTATAAACCAAACATAACAGAGTTCCTGTGCTAAGTAACTTGTAATGTGTAGAATATATAGTTGTTATACAGAATGAGATGTGAGGCATAAAACAGCTACAGTACAGTCTATATTTACATCACATTTGTATTTGCTTGGCAATATTCTGAATTGCCAAGTACTGGGGAGATCCATTGGATAAGTAAAAAATGTCTTAGCTTAATTCTGATTATTTTTTCGAAAGGCGAGGCAAACTGGTTGAGACAGTTGTATCTAAGCGTTAAATGTTACTACAATCTTTTTAATTTAAGTTGTTATTATGGATCTGCAGAAGGTGGGGAGAATATACGCAATTCACATATCTAAACAGATTTAACATAAAACTGCATTTTTTGCTAGACGATGATTCTATAAGCACTACTTCAGAGGATATATCTGGCCCATCAGTAGTGAAACAGATAACTGGGACAGGTAAGTGTCTAGTTATACACATCTCAAGTTTAAAAAAAAAAAAAAAAAGTAAAAAAAAGTGTAAT